TTTCCTGGAACGAAAACACTATATTTGTTGCTGATTGCATAAATAATGTATATAAATATGATTTAACCAATTCACAATTTTGTAGCTGATAACATTGAATAATTTATAATTATAACTTGTTTTATCATATACAAAAGACATGTCAGAATCGCAGCACCGCACATCGCCAATAGCACAACATACTTCGAGGATTTGCTGCCACAACCCCCCCCCTGCCCCAATATATCTATATATATATATAATAAGTATATATATATAATATATATACATATACATTATAATGTAATACATTTACTGATGAAGTCAATGGGAACCCACTTAGTAGTAGTTATCCTAGTACTATCATCATGATTCGCAATCAAGACGGGGATCGGTTCCGAGTAATGATCGCCTCACTCCGACAAGGCATGAAAATCGCTATAATAAAAATATGTTGAAAAAATAACACAAAGAATATGCAACCTGTGGTCGGTATTTTATGGGGTTTTTATTCTTTGTGGGGTGGTCTTTCGATCTTGCATAATCAGCTTCCTTCATCTTCCTCACAAGATAATTTCTTTAATACCAACACATGGTTTTGCAACCGTGATCGAAAAAACGACAATATTGCGATTGACAACTCTGCGGTATCTTTAGACAGCAGGGTCGTAGGCTGAGCAAATTCCTAGGGGGGGGGAGCAAAATTTCATAACTCAACTGTGTAATGATGAGTGACGGGCGCAGCTCTTGATCGACGTCCATAGTGTGGTAGGGGTGGGTCTGAGACAAGGCTTTTACGGATAAGTAACCAGAAAAAGCACGTTAGTGTCATTTACGATTATTAGCTAAGCTTATTTTTTAATTTTGCTCCAAAATCTAGGGGGCATCTGCCCCCTGCCCCCTAAGGCTACGGCCCTGGACAAGAAGGCGAGGTGTAGCTATAGAACGCTGGCACACCATGGCACTATGCGTCGCCGCGAACATAGAGCAGTCGCCGCGACAAGAGCGCAGGATGCGAGTTACGAGAAGCAAAATTCATCAACGCTCCCTAGAGGGAATGTTCCTTTGCAGTACGCTGTAGTTAGCAAGCGCGGTGGCGTCGGGATTTTTCTCCTGCGGTTTAACATTCGTTCGATCGACACGCCGACGTTACGTATGTATCGTGTGTAATAGGCAATGTGTCGGGGCCGGGGGTAATATCGTTTACAATTTTCACCTGCCACCGATGCTGGGCGGAGCTACTGCCGCCAGTAAATACGACGAGGAAGTGTCGCCGAACATACACCGTAATGTGATATCAGCCAAGCAGTACGGCTCTATCGGCTGCCGTCGGCGAGAGGAGAGGTCATACGTTACGATTCCATCGCACGTGATTCTTCACTGCTAGACGCATGTTGTCGCGAGCACGTTAAGGTCGCGCCGCGGAATGCGTCTCTGATCTCTACACAAATATAAAAAATTAAAGCCCTAAAGAGGCTTCACGCTCCCGCTCTCGTCGGGACGATTGAATGGCGACGCAAGCGGACCAGAAGAGACAGGCGTGGGAGCGCGGCTATGTTACCGGCACGTCGCCACCCTACGGACGGATAAGCGGACTAAGCTCCACCCGTGCAAGCGGGATAGCATCCATGGCTACTGCTTCCGTGCTGTTCCCCGCTCCACGACCTAACAAGCTTCGGCTGCAGCAGGATGGTAGCCGATCGGCATTCGTTCCCATCCGTAAAGGGACGGGACCGCTGCTTCTGTCACACGAGTTGGACTCTTGCGACACTCACTCGTCACAGCGACGCGGCGGCTATGACGACAGTCACGATAGTCAGACGAGTAACAACAGAAGCTGCACCGCGTCGCCAAGAAACGTCGGCCGCCCGTCGACGCCATGCTTCGACTCGACACCGGCGCAAAAGACGTCTGCAGTTGAACCGAGATGGACAGATGTGGCAGCGCGTAGCAACTGCGGAATGGCGAGCCATGTCAACGAGCAAGCGAACGCGACGTCGGCTCGGCTGCCGTATACAGCCCGCATGGCGACAATCCTGCCGTCAGGTGGCGTGCCGTACCACGGCTGCTGCTACACTGCAGCCAGGCCGACCTATGGTCACTCCGAGTCACCTTTTCTGTATGGTATCCAGAGCATGTGTAAGCGGTGGCCGTATTCTTCCTCTTCGTTACTTTTGCAGCTCGCGTGCGATTCGGAGCCTCGAGAGAATGTACGGGCGCCAATTTCAGTGCTAGCACGTGTTCACATCAAGTAACGAATTAACGTGATCGACCAGTATACAAACTATAGACATAGTATCAAGAGTACATAATAGAGTACACTCTATTATGTACTCTTGATAGTATTATCTCACACACACACACACCTCACCCACATACATACATACATACATACATACATACATACATACATACATACATACATACATACATCGAGGGAATTTGGCTCGCACAACCCCCCCGCTCCCCATATCTATATTTATATAATATAATATATATAGATATAGTATATCCAATATAACATTATAATAGTAAAGAAATTCTCACTGTATTGCGACAAAGCATGCAATCACATATTATAATTATGATGAAATATTATAATAAAACAAATGTATAACAAACTATGTCTACATGCATGTAGCATATATCAGCATGCATTACAACGTACTTTTAGCCCATATCTATAGCCTGTTTCAACGTCGGCAATCAACGTTGAAACAACGTTGATTGCCGACGTTGTTTCAAGGTTATTTCAATGCCGTTTGCCCGCTGGGTAGTTCTTGTAACATAATCCATGAAAAGCGTCAGCGGTGGATCATCTTGCGGATGATAATTGTTAGATGACTTTAAAAATACCGCATTGTAATTAATGTAGAGCACGTTACTTGTAACGAATTAAAACGAGGAAAATATAAATAGGGAAATCATTGTTGCCCGCTAAGCGGTGCTGCGCGGACGAGAAAGGTATATAAGATCTAGTAAATGGTAAAGATTGTGTAAACACCAAGAATGTGATGAAAGTTCTGTGTCTGTACAACATATCTTTTTACGCAACTTTCTACTGTGACTAGTTAATACGATGGTTGTCTCTAGTGTGAGTGTGATTGTGACCAATTTGTCCAAAATAGAGGATTTCTCTTAAGCCTTGCGTATCTCTCTGTATGACGATACCGTAGAGAGAAAACAATAAGGCCGATCAGGTGTCTAAAGCGGCTGGTTCTCGCAACAAAATGCATACACCTACTGTCAGGGCCGTACGCAGCAGGGGGGCAAGCAGGCCGGCCGGGGCAGTTGCCCCCCTAGAGTATGCCTTTTAATGGGACAAATGCTGTACATTTTTAGAAATAAAATAGAAATGTGACAAAAGGTTATCTTAAATCATCAAAGAAATATTACACTTTAAATAAAGAAATGTGAAATTGCGAAACTTTAGGGCACAGGGGGCATGGGGAGTACCTTTGCCCCTCTACAGAAAATTTCCTGAGTACGACCTTGCCTACTGTGAGCATACTTGCAGTAGAAAAACATCACGAAGTGTTCTCATTGAGAAAAAAATGTGCTCTGAAGTAGTATATATATAATGATAGTATTATATAGAGCATTTTGAAAACTTTATCGGAGAAGGGTTTGGCGTATAGATACACACAAAGTGTGTGAAGCGAAGCGACCGCGAGAACGCTAACAGTAGGCCTACGGCAGCGCAAATGGTTCCTGGAACGAAAACACTATATTTGTATGCTGATTGCATAAATAATGTATATAACATATGATTTAACCAAATTTCACAATTTTGTACTGAATAAACATTGAATAATTATAAATTATAACTTGTTTTATCATACAAAAGAACTGTCAGAATCGGCAGCACCGCACATGCGCAATAGCACAACATACATTCGAGGGAATTGCTCCACAACCCCCCCTCCCACATATCCATATTCATATAATATAGATATATATAATATATACATATACATTCTAATTTAATACATTTATAGATGAATAAATGAACTTCACTTAGAGTAGTTATCCAGTACTATCATCTGATTCGCAATCAAGCGGGGATCGGTTCCGAAAATGATGCTCACTACCGCAAAGGCATTAGAAAATCGTAATAATAAAAAATAGTAAATAAATAACACAAAGAATATGCAACATGTGGAGTATATTAATGGGGTTTTTACTCTTTGTGGGGTGGTCTTATCGAACTGCATAATCAAGCTTCCTTCATGCTTCCTTACAAGATAATGTCTTAAACAACACATGTATTGCGACGTGATCGAATAAACGACAATATTGCGATGACAACTTGCGTATGCTTTAGACAGCAGGTCTGTCTGAGCAAATTCCTAGGGGGGGGAGCAAATTTATAATTCAACTGTAATGATGAGTGACGGCGCAGCTCTGATCGACGTCCCTAGTGTGTAGGGTGGTCCTGAATCAGGCTTTTCGGATAAGTACCAGAAAAAGCACGTTAGTGTCATTTAAGATTATTACTAAGCTTATTATTTTTAATTTGGCTCAAAAATCTAGGGGCCACTCCCTCCCCTAAGCTAACGCCTGACAAGGAGGCGAGGGAGCTATAGAACGCTGCACAACATGGCAGCTATCCGTCGCCGCGACACGGTAGATCTTCGCCGCGATCCAGAGAGGCAGATGAGTTTACAGAAGCGAAAATATTCCCATCAACGCTCCTAGAGAATGTTCCTTTGCAGTACCTGATTAACAAGCCGGTGGGTGGGATTTTCTGCCTAGCGGTTAAACATTCCTTCGAATCGATACACGCCGACGTTACGTTGAGCGGGTATAGGCAATGTGCGGGGCCCGGGGTAATATCGTTTTACAGATTCACCCTGACGACGATGCGCGAGCTACTGCGCCAGTAATACGAGAGGAAATGTCCGCGACATACCGTAAGTGATATCAGCCAAGCAGTACGGCATCTAATCGGCTGCCCGTCGCGAGATGAGAGGTCATTACCGTACGATTTCATCAGCTGATTCTTCAGCTGACTAGACGGCATGTTGTCGCGAGCACGTAAGGTCGACGCCGCGAATGCGTCTGATCTCTACAAAAATATAAAAATTAAAGCCCTAAGAGATCAGCGCTCCGTCTGCGCGGACGCAATTGAATGCGACGAAGCGATCATAAAAGCAGGTAGGGAAGCGCGGCTTATGTTACCGGCAGTCGCCAACCGCTACGACGGATAAGCGGATTAGCTCCACCCGTGCAAGCGGGATAGAACATGCTATGCTTCGTGCGTTCCGCTCCACCGACTAAAAGCTTCGGCTGCAGTCAGGATGGTAGCGCAGATGCGATCGTTCCATCGTAAAAGGGACAGGACCGCTGCGTTCTGTTCACACGAGTTGGACTTGCGACAACTCACAGGTTCCTTCACAAGCGAGGCGCGCTATGAAGACAGTCACGATAGTCAGACGAGTACAACAGAAGCTCACCGCGTCGCCAAGAAACTCGGCGCCAGCGACGCGAGCTTACGACTCGACGCAGCGCAAAAAGAAACACCTCATAATTGAACCGAGATGGACAGCATTGGAACGCGTAGCAAATGCGAATGGCGAGCCATGTCAAACAGAGAAGCAAGCGACGTCGCTCGGCTGCCGTATACAGCCGCATGGCGAAATCTAGCCCGTAGTGAACACGGCTGACTGCTACCTGCAAAATCATACGCGAGCACCATTTTCTGTATGGTATTCAGAATCATGTTAAGCGTAGGGCGTATTTTCCTCTTGCGTTACTTTTGCAGTCTCGCGTGCGATTTCGAGCCTAAAAACAAACACCCACCCCACCACCAAAGCATGAGTCATAGCCCGTCCACCCGCGAGTAGCGAAAGAGGAGGGCTCGTTTGACCCCAGAGGCATTCGAGAGAAGACCGGCGCCAATTTCAGTGCTTAGCACGTGTTATCATCAGTAAGAATTATCGTGATAGACCATATACAAACTAAGACAAGATCAAGAGACATAATAGATAACCTATTAATGTAGCTCTGATGTATATCTCACACACACACACAGGTCTCACCCAGCATACATACATACATACATACATACATACATACATACATACATACATACATACACGCGCGTGCGCACTCACGCACGCACGCAGGTACGCACGCACACACACGCAAACAAACAAACACATGCACACACGCACGCTCTCACTCTCGCTCTCACTGGTATGATTACAATGATCGCTGTATTATCTAAATTATGTGAGCAAAGAGCTACAGGTTCATAACACCAATACCATATACCGTTAAACGCATGCACGAATGCGCGCGTCTTCAGATGTAATGCCAGTCACCAAAATTACAGTTTATCTACAGTTTCAAGGCGACGTCGGAAGGAACCGCGTCAGCGTCGACAGCGAACCACGTTCACCAGCGAACAGACGCTCAGTCTCGAGCTAGAGTTTCACAGGTAAGACATGTCCATGTCCACAGGTAACAGGTATGTTTACAGGTAAGACATGCACATGTCCACAGGTAACAGGTATGTTTACAGGTAAGACATGCACATGTCCGCGATGTGACGCCGCCTCGCAGGCGCCACGTCCTTAATTCGGGTTCATAGGAGAAAATCGGCGCATATATACGATTGCAACTATACGTAAGAATGATGATGCGTCGCTGCATGAAGCTAATACTAATCGTATCGTTATCGTAAGCAACGTTATCGTATCGTAATCTACAAACGACAACTATATTCTACAACGTATCGTTAACTGTTGCGAGACTGTCCGTGAGAGCTGTTTACCTATATAGTCAGTGTGTGTTACTCTGAGCAGGGCCGAGTACGTGTCGCGGGCGCGCAGGTTTGAGCTGGCCGAGACGCTGGACCTCACAGAGACTCAGATAAAGATCTGGTTCCAAAACCGCCGCGCGAAGGACAAACGTATTGAGAAAGCCCAAATTGATCACCAGATAAGGTAGGCATGTGGATAAACTAGTTGATTGAGATATGTACACATCACACACGCATACACATGCACACACGCACACACACACGCGCACGCGCGCACGCATAGAGAGGCAGCGAGACACACACAGACCCACACACTCACACAGACACACACGCACACGCAACACACACTATGGCGCGCGCAACACAACGACACATCACACACACGATTGGCCAACACACACACTACGCCGCGCGCGGCGCCTGGGCCCTCGCTGACCACATCCCACAACCACACACACACACACACACACAGTCACCACAGCACGACACACACACACCAGCACAGCACACACACACAACACGTCGCGCGCGGGCCGCGCACGCAAGTGGACGCACGGAGCGGCGCGCACGCACGCACGCACAACACACACCACACGCACGCAGCCCAACAGCACGCACGGCACGTGACGCACGCACGCACGCGACGCAGCACGCACAACAGGCGTCACAGATTGCCCGCAGCACTACTCGCACGCACGCACGCACGAAGAGTTGAAGACGACGAATACAGAACTATAAGTGTTGAACAAGAAATAGCAGAAATTATAAACTGTGAAAAAGGTTGCCAGCTAGAAGCGTTCATATCTCAACTTATCTCTGTAAATATCTATATATAAACCCAAATGCGAGCATAGTCTGCGCGCTAACGCTGAGAAAATTGCCGCCGGTGCCCTCGGTCAATCGCGTGCTCCTGCAAATCCTCACCCACCGAACATTAACACCGACGCTGCTTAAATGTTCTCTAAATGAGACATTAAATTGCCTGTCTGTAATCGCTTGATTAATCGTCGCTGTAAATGATCCTAATGATATATATATCGGGGGCAATTTCCGTGCAATAAGGCCGCGTCGTTCAGCGCGTTTGATGAGTGGCGGCGTGGAGGCGGACGTGCGACCGGGACGCGCAGGTGCTTCTGCATACGCCGCAAACTTCGAACAATTCATTACGTTTGCGGCAGACTTCGCTCCGCCTCGAACGGTAGAGCGCCGCGGAGTCGTCTGTCGACTGAGTATTTAGCCCTCCCACTCTCTCCCAACGCACAAACAAACGCACCCGCACGCGGACGCACGCACGCACGCGCACGCACGTACGCACACGCGCGCCAACACGAACAAATCTCTCTCCACAACTCAACCACTCTTCCTCAGGAATTCAAGCATAGAGAGCCGAAGTGACACGACACGTTCACATGACCACGTATGGTTCTAAACAGACTCCAGACTCGCATACTTTTTGTAGATTTTAAATGCCAGAATCTGAAAAGTATATCCATAGGAAGTTCTGAATATTCCCACTGTCGTTGTGTTTCATTTTCTCATCCATCTAAACAATTTTCATCTCACATCTTCCCTTTGAAGTTTCCATTTTGACAATTCAATGTGTGTATCATCAGGTTTGCTAAGATACCATGACCAATGTCATACCGTAGAAAACGAAACAGGCCATTACCGCAGGAGTAAAGTCCGATACCCCTCATAAGACTATTAGCAGTAAGGTTACAGTTCATGGATGTCTTCTTCTTTAACGCAATCTCTGAGGAAAAGAGGTTGCCTTTATGAATAGTCAAACACTCTAAAACATATGTTAGCTGGTTTATTTATGCATATATCGATCAAAGAGATTTTGTCTCTCATCTGAATTAAATGACCTTGTCTATGATAAGCTTGCTGATGGTGAAGCCAAGTCTTTTTGGAGAATTATTAAATGTAAAAAAACAGGGAAACTGATAACCCATCCCTTCTCCGCAGTGACGGCATTTCCTATAACTATCAGTCCCCTGCATCGAAAGCTTGAGCTATCAATTCAAGTTGGTTTCGTCTGCTATTCGTGCGATCTCTACTCCATGTGTCAAGTTTCTTTTGACGAGTAAAATTGTTATCTTTCTTAGCGGTGTGTGTTCGGTGCTTAAAACCATAACATTGTTTCTTTCATTCCATATTGGAATTCTCTTCCTACTTCTCTAGTTAATGATTAAATTAAAGCATTTCTCCAATAAGTTGCAATAGGTAACGAGGTTACCCCTAAACAGATATACTGCAGCGCACAGTATGCGCATACAGTGTTTAGAACCAGACAGCGCGACATCATGGGTATGTCATTGCTTCGGCTTAAAAGAAAAACGTTTAAAACAATACGAGGAAGTAAGACACTGAAATGCTCGGATCGTAAACTTTAACCGCTAAACGTTACGTTCTTGATCAGGTTATTTCCTGGTGTTTGTTATTGAGCGCATAACACATTTTTATTGCACTATATATTATGCCTCCTAATACTCTAGCTATTGACGCGACATGAACTGCACCGATAACAGTCGCTCACATTTGACATCGGTGTGTGTGTGTGTGTGTGTGTGTGTGTGTGTGTGTGTG